GCATGAAAACTAAGGTGTTACAATAGGAATGTTAGGAGATTGAAGGATGTGAACATAAGATAAATCTGGTCTTTCTAAGTGAATTTGAAGTTGTTTTAGAGCTTGGGGAGTTGAAATACTTCAAAGAGTAGGAAATTTGAGGTAAATAGGTGCTAAGAGTGAAATTTGGAAAATGGAAATTTTGGAAAATGGCTATATATAGGGGCTTAGGACCAGAGGATTTCATTTGTCAGAAAGAAACAGTTTCTAGAGAGAGGAAGTATATAGAGAAGCTCTGGTCCAGAGGGAAGCTGAGAATACATTTGGGAAGTTTATCAAGCTAGGATCAATCTTCACAACTGGAATTTCAAGAGTTTTAGCCTTTAAAAGCTTGGAAAGTGAGATTGAAGTTTGAGTTGGGATTTGAGGATCTAGTTAAAATCTTGCATTTCTAAGGGTAAGGGTAGTACTTATAAGATTTAATCTAGTATGTGGATTTGAAATATCACATTGATTCCATGTTTTATGCATGATTAAGGTTAGATTGAGTGGAGAGGGTTTGGTTGGGTTTCTTCATGATTTTCATGGATTAATGGTTAATACTTGATTTTATCACTTAATATGTTGTTTTTGGATGATGTTTATGCTCTATAATGGTTCGAAATCATGTAATTTGGTTTGGAATTCATGTTAGGATGGAGTTGAGGGTGAAAATCGAAGTTTTCAAACTTCTGACGCGTTGTCTGATGCATGTGCGCTAAGCGCACGCGACGACACGCTAAGCGCATTGAAGAACAGAGCTTTCTATCTAGAGCGCGTTGAGTGCATTTAACCATGGGTTAAGCGCACGAGTCTATGTGCTAAGCGGGCAGCTTCTAGTGGCTCTCTGTACAGAGCGCATTGAGCGCATGTAGCCATGGGTTGAGCGCATGTGGTGACGCACTGAGCGGGCAAAGCCTGATAGGCTCCCAGTTTTGATTGCGTTGAGCGCAAATACCACTACGCTAGGCACGTGGTTTCTTTGAGGAAAACCTTTTATAATTGAGTTGTTATGAAACTTTCAAATTTTGAATCATACCATCTTTTGATGTTATATATTTGGTATGGAATGTGGCATGATTATGGAAAAGATTACATGTAATTATGGAATATGCTTATGTGTGTTTGGTTCGGAAAGCTAATAGGACTTAGAGGAATAAGGTTATGATATGGATTGGGAGATCTCTTGGTGAGATCTGGATATAATCCTTGGGAAAACATGGAATTTGGGGGTTCCATGGTGAGGATCCTAATATGGAACTTTTCCAAAGATTATATAATAAACCAATTTAGATGTTAGGTGGATTCTAAAGTACTCCTCTAAGCATTCTATTTGCTACCGGTATGAGGGCAAGGTCGAGTCATACTGATGGATGAAGTGGCTAGAATCACCAGGGTTACGTGACGACGTAATCCAACTGTGTATTTTCCATGAGAGGTTAGGTGTGTGACATGGGCAGGTGACATGTTCACAAACTCAACACTTGGGTTGGATGTGTTGATGCCAACATTTGGTTTGGATGTGTTGGCTACTTCATGGGATTATACAATGGTGTGACTTTGGTTTGGATATGGAATATGTATGCATTTGGTATGGATTGTATACATTGGTTATGGATTCTTTATTATTATAGAATATATATGTATGCATTGGTATGGATGTGTATACATTAGATTTTGAATTTGTTTATATTGGCATGGAGATGGGCATGTAATAATGTTGTCATTCCTTTGGTATGGATAAATGTCGATGATTAATATTTGGTTTGATGATATTTCATTTATATGTGTTATGGTTGGTTTTATACATGTTAACCCTTATATTTTCATGATGTGGACTGTGATGATCTCACTATGTGGGGGAGAAGATCAGGTGTGAGACTTTGGGATGACAAGGAGTCTTTTGGTAACTTCTTTGAGAAGTGACTAGATCTAGAGCTTGACCAGCACCTAGGGTGTCTTATTTTGATGTTTTCATGATGTTGTAACTATATTATCTTCTTGGATGACTGTATAACCTTACTAGTGATAACTCTTTTATAAAATCACGTTTTATATGATAAAAATAATTTATACATTTTAAGTTATTTTTACTCTAAGGTAGCTGACATTTACTCTTTTTTCTTTTTATATTATTATTTATTTTGAGTTGTTGGGTTGGTGATAACTTCCTATGCTATTATAATATTGTCCTTGCTATTCCTATGGGTATGAAACTGCTCTGATTAGGATGCACCAGTTGCTCCATAACTTGGTTGAGTCGGTGGGCTAAAACCTTGATGAGGACCTTGTAAGAAACATTGCAAAGCCCAATTGGTCGCATATGATTCAACTAGGCAACATTGTCCAACTTTGGGATTAAGATAATGAACATGTCATTTATATGAGCAACTCTAGTTGGATTATCTTTAATGTCATGAATTAGCTAACACAAAGTAGTCTCGATAATATGCCATTGGGTTTGGTAGAATATGGCTTGGAGACCATCTGGACCTGGGGCTTTGAAATTGCCCATGAGAAATGAGAGATAAATAATTCTATATAATTGGTGACATATTAAATACAAATTAATGACTCGTTTGATAGATAAATAGAGTGAAAAGAAATATGTGATAAATAAAATGGAGAGAGATCGAAAAGAGATAAATAGGCGAATAAAAATAAAGTAGAAATTTAATTAAAGAGAAATAAGAAAAAATATAGAAAAGAAAAATAAATAAAACAAAATAATCTTATAATCATTCATATGATAAAAATTAATTTTGCGTAAATTATATATATATATATATATATATATATA